AAACAGACACAAAAAAAGAAAATGGTCTTCCCAATTTCACGCATTTTTGAAAATCGCAAATCATTTTTTTTTTCTCAAATCATTATAAATAATTTTTGTTTGTTTTTTTTTGTCCGATTCAAAGTTTATCCATATTTTTATATTATCAAAAAAAAAATATTTTACTGAGATAAATATTATAAAAAGAGATATATGTAAATAATGTTTGTATATATATATATGCTGTTTTTGTGTTGTGTGTATATGTGCAAACAAAAAAAAAAACCACTTAACGCATTAATAAAAGAAAGCTTTAAGGCCCACTGCCAAACCTTTTTTTTTTCGCATGATAATAAAAGCTAATAAATGGCTCAATGAATAATTAAAAAGAAAAATAATTAAAAGAGAATTTTTTTTTTTTTATCTCTCTTACTATTGTGGAAAAAGAGATATTAAAAAAAAATGAAATTTTTTTTTCTTTATTTATATATACAACACAAAAAAAAAAATTTTGCTGGTAAATTATATATTTACATTGTGAAACCAATAAAATGATGCTTTTTTTTTTTTTACCCAATTGTAGTTGTCATTTTTTTTTTAAATCTTGAGTCTTGTGGCCTGTCTTGGGGAGGAAGGAATCTGCATCACACCATGGTCCACCTCAAATCTGGTGGTTCTTTACATGCCTTTTGTTTCTCCTAGCCATTATTGATAGTGAACTCTTCGAGAAAGCAAAGTTTTTCTCAATTATCTACATAGACTCACCAAACACTGAAACTCTATTATAAATAATAGAAAGGGAGTGGTGGTCAATCATTTTGCTGCAGAGGCAGTTTTCACCACAACAAATTTAGAAAAGTTTAAGATAATTAATAATTTTACAGACAAAATGTCCAAACGCAATTAACAAAAAAAAAAAAAAAAAGTATTGTTTAAAATGGATGCCAGCACCACATGCAGAGTAATGTACAAGGCATAGACAAATATGCAAATTAGTAACATATATAGCAAGTTGGCAGATCATATTAGGATCTTCCAGTAAGATTTTTTGACCAGCTCATTGCAGGCCTTTTTCTCTTCAATTTTTCCCGTCTTTTCTAAACCATTTGCTGTCATCATAAGCTTTGAATAGTTTATGATTTAATGTATTATCATCAGTTGCCTACATGATTGATTCAACAAGAGTTTTGGTAGAGAAGAGTAACAAACACCCATGTAGCTCTCTACATCTTCTATAATTCAAAACACCCCAAGGTATTAGAATTTTCTGCTGAATAAAAAAAAAAAGTATGTGTTGAATTATAGTTGATAAAAGGTTATATTGGGTAAGGATGGAATATTTAGATTATAAGCCACATGAATAAAAGACCAAATTAATGGAAGGTACCACACAAGCTCTGGAAGGAGGGACAAGAACCAATAATGGATGGGGAGATTGATAGAGAATAAATTAATCTGAGAGAACTAGATTCACCACCAATACTCCCAATGTTTTTTTTTTTCACACTGAATATAACATTTTATTATAGAGGGAACAACAATTCATTTTGCATTGATATAGTTTCAACTTTATATATATATATATATATTTTGAAAATAGAGCAATCCATACTTAATTCATTAGATAATAAAAGTCATATTGGATTTAATAAAATATTTATTTTGCCAATATTTCGGCTGGCTGAACGCCAACCTTTATAGAGGCATTACATTTTTGTGTACATACCTTCATAGTCTTCATTTTATTTAAACCATTAAAATCTATATATATAGAGTTGTCTGACAAAAATGTAATGCCTCGATAAAGGTTGGCGCTCAGCCAGCCGAAATATTGGCAAAATAAATATTTTATTAAATCCAATATATGACTTTTATTATCTAATATATATATATATATTTTTTTAAAGGTCTCTTTAGCGTAAATTTTTCCAATAAACCTATAATGTCCTTACTGTTAAAGAAAAATATCATCACCCTTCCTTCCTGAGTGTTCCTAGTTTATTGGAAAAAAAATGTGTTAATACAAAGAAATAAATAAGACAAAAAAAAAAGATAATTGAGAAATATTTTGCTTTCCCAAAGAATTGTTAATGTATAATGCTCGTTTTCAAGTCTTCTCACAAGGGTGCTGCTCTTTTTCTGCTTCCCACCAATCTTCATACCTTCATAGTCTTCATTTTATTTAAACCATTAAAATCTATATATATATAGAGTTGTCTGACAAAAGTGCCTTTGTTGATAACAATAAAAATTGTTTTCTCTCAACTCAAGATTTTTTAATTTTTTATCCCCTTGTGCAAGTATTACACAAATTCCACGAGTCCAGGCTCCTTGAGCTGTTTGATGATTAACAACTGCCTCTCCCAAAGTTCCTGTTTAGAGCATCTAATGCAAGCCAAATATGTTCTGGAGCTGTATTTGCTATAATTTCATCATTCGTATATGATTTTTGCGATTAACTTAAGCTTAGCTCAGCAATAACAAATATCTATTAGTAAGATTTAGCTATATTAGCTACGTTAAAGAAAGGGTAATGCCAGACATTTGTAAACTTTTATTGAATTTAAATGAACAGAGGGGAAAACAAAATTTAAATTCTTGTCTCTTTACTTAGAGATTAAGGTGCGCTTTATTATCTCCTCTAGATATGGTAATAATAATACTGATGATGATATCATTATGATAGTAGATAACTAAGAGGTTTAGGACAAACTTAGTTTTAGATTTTAAAATAAAACGCACAACTAGTACCATACTGTACTAGGGCGACTCAAATATGATATTGGACAATAAAAATTCAGAGCTCCAGTATTAAATTGATAATACACTTAGAACCTTGTTATAACAGCAATTTGGTTAGGGCATCAAAGTTTAAGATTGTGAGTTTTAAACTGTGGTTTTGATGACAAAAGTATTTTTACAAAGTAATACTATAATAATGCGGTTCAACTATATTTCAATTCAATCCATGAAATTATCTCTGTGGAGAAATCATTGGCTTTTAAAATTGAGGCTGTTCGTTCTTTAAGAGACCTTGCTTTTAAAAAATGGAGAGGGTTTACTGCATTTATAAACACATACACATGTGTGTGTCTTGTGTTTCTAATACAATTCAAATTGTACCTTATCATTGTATTGATTTAGTAAATTTTGATGTATGTCTCAGTGTTGGTAAACAAAATGTCTTACAATTGTTACATGGGCTAGAGATCCCAATGACATTCTTTATTACCAGTTTTAATATGAGAGTTTTGATTTGAAGCTTAAAGACATTGAAGATGTGTCTCCTTTCAAATCTCACTTTAGTCACCACCATGTAATGGCTCCTGTTGACAACTTTGAAAAAAGCTTCTTCATAGCTCAGGAATTCAATAACTGCTCTTCTTGACCAAAGTTTTGACAACCTTCCATCACCACATTGTGTTCTATTAGCAAACGAACATCTCCATTCTGTCACCCCGGAAGCCCTGAACTGGCTGAAGGCCTTGCCTCTCAGACTTTAATGACCGATATGTTCTCACTTCTTTTTTCTAGATTTAATTCATTTTGTCTCCTCTCTAATTGTAAATACGCTGCTGTATCACCTCATAAGCATAAATAAATAAAAGCAAACAAACTGTGCTAGAGCACAAAGGACAATGTAACAATTTTCTTGACTTGCAGAGAAGGAAGACATTATGAAGCCTCCAATAAAGGTGACATTCAACTACACTCACAAAAAAAATCTCACTAAGTGAGAATTCCTTTTGACTTCTGTGACTGGGTCTGAAGAACAAGGCTATGTCAATAGCCTGGTGGTGGGGGCCTTCTTGAGTTCAACATAGTTGTGTCAATTCAAAGAGATGGCCAAAACACACTGGTGTGTGTGTGTATGCGCATGATGGACATGCACAAGCAAGCCATGCGAGGGGGGAAAAGAAAGGGATTACCTTCAGGACTTCCTATCGCGGCTGGAGGACCTACTTGCGTGCTGCTTGTGACTACGCCTACTGGATTTTTTACTGCGCCGCGCTGCAGGGGAAGAATCCCTGCTCCTTGAGTGGTTGTATCGATGCCGCCTGCTTGCTCTATCATGTGACCGGCTACGCCGCCGTTTCCTCTCCCTGCTATCGGAGCTACTGCTGGAAGAGCTATGGTGCCTCCTTCGGTGTGGAGAGCGACTCCTATGTCTCCTACGGGTCCTCTCTCTACGGCTGCTTGTACTCCTGCTCCTCCGGCTAGACTTGGTGGTTTTACTGCTACGGGAGGTCTTGCTTCGACTCCTGCTCCGCTTCTTCTTTTTATAGGACTTTGGTATAGAAGGACTGGAATCTGATTCACTTGGAGCAACCACTGGTACGGTCTCCACTGGGGATTTTTCTTTGGGAGGTGGTTCTTGAGGTGGTGGAGCTTCTGCAGCATACAGGGGGATAACATGGCAGCCTTTGAAGTGGGCCAAAAGCTTTTTACCTTGGGAGGGTGAGGGAGGTTCTTTCACAGCAGCGGCAGCTGCTGCTGCTTCCTCGGGTTCCAGGTCCGCCATCAGCTTCCGTTCTTTCAGGGCAAAGGCCTTCTTTCTCTCCTGGATCTTGGTGTAGATGTCACCATCGGAATCGGAGTCAGAGCTGCCATCACTTTCCGCTCCACCTAGACATCAAGAGAAAGTGTTGTCACTTGAGCTTTGGACTGAACTGATGCTACAAGAAGGTAGCATAGTGGTTGTTGACTTTTTTTTTTTTGAGTGAAACTAATTTGGGGGGGCCATCGCTGTTTTCACCTACACACTATAAAAGAATACTCAACATATTCTAAATTTGGTTTAAAAAAACTAATAGCTTTATATTAGTTTAGCTCTAAAATGTCTTGAAGAGCAATTTTTGATAACCAAAATAGATAAATATTTTTGTGAATATATTATTAGAAGGGAAAGGTTCAAATCATCTATCATTCCCAATATTTCACCTACGTGTATACCTATCTATATATAAACGCCACGAAAATAGAAAAACATGCACTCTTGGCCCCTACACGCCCGCCAAGGCCACCTCTGGTAGGATTTGAACCTACGACCTCCGAATGTGGCACTCGGCGCGCTTGCCAACTACGCCACAGAGACCCATGCCCCAGGGGGGAGGAGGGCCAAGAGGCACACACACACACACCTGAAGCCAGCCAGCGAGGGTGGGGAAGAGAAGGAGGGTACTCACCAAATCCTGATGCAATTGAAGCCAGAGCGGAGGATGAGGCCAGCTGCCTGGCAGGAGCTTTAGGGTTTAACAACACATGGAGTGAGGCTTCAGGTCAGAGTGTCCGGACGGACCCAGCCAGCCCGGGGGGACATTCAAAGTATACATACAGTACAACTTCCATTTAACCCTGTTGTTGTTGTCTTAGACAATTATTGGTAGTTTCTCTTCACAAATACACTAACCAGCGATAATTGGAACTTCATTTTAGTTTTTCACAACTATTACTAATTAACACTTCTATAAACAAAATAGGACTTTATATAATTATTATATAAAAATAAAAATAGAATTTCTCAAGAGGTTTACTGTACCAAATAAAGATATAAAGAAAGTATTATGTAAAAATAAATTAAATAACAAAACCAATTAACTAAGGTGCAACAATCCTTGTTCTTAGGTTCTCCAATAGTCAAGTGAGAGCTCTAGTCTATCAACATGACCCATTTTGATGTAAGTCTCTAATGAACAAAAATAACTGGATTAGATGACAATAATAATCCATAAGATACATTAACACCAATCTTTAAATAAAAAAATCAATTAACCCTTAAGTGGCAACACTTTTGAATCTTTTTTTTTTTGGAAGGTTATCTATTATAGATGTGTGTGAAGGTATTTCTTCTGGAAAAGGGACAAAAATCCATTTGCTGAAATATATAAATGGTAGATTATAAATGGTCATATATTCTTTTACTATTTAATTGTAAAACCAACTTCTAAATACATCTATTGACTATAGTTTACAAATTTGGGGAAATTGTGGGTGATTACAGTAGAAACTTAGAGAAAAGCCACTTGCTAGAGCTACTTTACAAAGGAGACAGTTTCTATTGCCATTATTTTTATCAATTAGCTGCTCTCCAGTAATAGGATACCTCTCTCTAATGGACAACTTGGTTCTGCAACCTTTATAGAGAGAGGTAGTTCTACTATATATAATTTATTCTTCAGTTTGTGTGTGTGGCTATTTATTTCCACTGCAGTAGCCTTACTACTAAGAAAGCAAGCAAACTCTAGAACATGCCACTTAAGGGTTAAATGTTTATAGAAGCATGTATTTTCAGTGAGGCCTTGAGTTATCGTTAAATCAAAGTTATACTGTATTTGAAAGATGAAGGGGGAGGGGGTGAGCAGGATAAGGGACACACACACCACACAAGATCTGAGGTCCCAAAATTTCCACTGGGACAAAATGGAAATTGTGACAGCTCAAAGGAGTATATATAAAAGGGGTCAAAATACCTCGAGCTCTGGATTTCTGATAGATAGACTTAGCAATGTTAGAAACTTCCTGATTGGTCACATCTAGGAGCACTTCCGTCAGCAGGTTCTTCACAAACATCATCTGCCACACCCACAGACCACAAGTTAGAAACAAATAGCAGAAAAGATACAATGTACAACAATACAGATATGTAAACTCTGTACAGTGGAACCTTGTTAATACCACAACAACAAAAAGCTTTATTAAGACATTTTAGTCTTATACAAATTCACCAAGCAGAAATATAGGGGTCATGCAGAAAAAACAGTAATAATACCAGTAATATAAACGCATTGTTATAATTATATTTTATAAAGATAATCACATATAATGGTAATATGAAATTTATATCCAGGAAAACTTAAGACAAGCTGTCAAATAGATTAGTCTTCTGGGTAAGGAATCTTGTTAAAACAGCCTCTCTTATAACAGAGAAACTTGGGTATAACATCATCAATTCTGAAGCCCCAACCATGGTTACAACATCTTGGTTTCAAATGAGGTTCCACATTATATATCTGTGACACCTGATTTAATGGGTGCTGAATTACATGGGTAAAGACTTCACAACCATCATCTTTATTCTTAACTTTGTGGCATCCAATATATGCCATGGTTACTTATATTCCATATATATCACACATCTTAATTTCCAGGATAGCCTCTCTTCAAATTGGACATACCACCCAAAAAAAATAAGGTCCCAGACAAGAATTCCATTAGTTGGTTCCTCATGCACAACTTAAAGATACCCAGGCACATTGCTGTTTTGTAGTTGGTTCTAATACAGGCCTTGTATGAAGCCAAATGAGTAGTCATCAAAATGTAGGACATATATGTTATATAAAAATATTATTTTATTTTTTAAATTATAATTCATAGATTCAAATTCTCTGCTAAATCGACCGCCAGAGGTCACTCTTCCCCTATAAAAACTCATTGTTGTTTTATCCCAATGGCCGACTCAAAACTTTTGTACATTATGTAAATAATCTTTTGTTTTCCTTATTCTACTCGCCTTAAGCCAGGCAGTACTTTAATCAAATTATGTTTTTTATATATATCCCTTAGCTCAAATAAATACATTTTAAAGATTATTATTTCAATATTTATGCCACGACTGCTCAACAAATATCTCTATTCTCAAAATAATCAGCATCAAGTATAAAATTCTATATAACTAATTATCAAAAATCAAACAATTTTTTTCTATTATAACATATATATATGTAAATCTGTTTCAATAAACCTTGTATCAATATTTATGTGAAAATTTCAGGCTTCAAGGATAAGTTTCTTTTAAAAAAAATTAATTCAGATCTCCCAGGCTTGAAAAAGCCCTTCTACAGGAGAAAATGTGATACAGTGAATGGCCAATAGGACACATGGAATTATGTAAAATAGTATCCGATTATAACTCTTGTCCTATTGGCAATTCATTATATCATATATTCTCCTGTAGTAGGACTTTTTCATGTCCAAAAGGTAAGAGATCTCTGAATTATTTTTTTTTTTAAAAGAAACTTAACCCTGGAAGCCTCAAGTTTTTTCACTTTAATGTAAAATCATGTGTTGACTAACTTGTTACTGCCCATCCTGGCTTTTGTTCTTCTCTGGGAATGTACCATTGAGTGATGGTACCTGCACCATCTACTCCATCACATTTACTGCTTGAATAACACTGTGACTCTTCAGTCATATACAAGTTGGTCTTCTGGGATTCTCATCTCCAATTCTTATCGCTTCGGTATACGACCATAATTTTCAGTCACCAATTTCTGGTGTCCTAAAGAAATATATTATGCAGACTATGTTGATGAAAATATAAAAACTTTTCAAAACACAAAGTTATAACACCAAACTTAAATGGATACGGTGTGTGTCATTTCGGTAACACAACGCTGTTACCAAAATGTCTCCACACACCTTATTCATTTAGATTAGGTGTTTTTATCTTGTGTTTCTAATCTATAAAAAATTCAAATTGTACCTTATCAAAAACTTTTCCCAATAAAAGCTCAGTAATGTGGACAACTTACCTTTTCTCTGAATATCTGTTCCTCATCCATACTCTCTTCTGCCTCACTGTCTTCATCGTCCGATTCCTACAATACACCCCGGGAAGGTTAGAAACACTGCTTGGGGTACTGGAGGGTGAACAAAAAGAAGGAGGGGGAGAAAGGGGGTTAAATAAATAAGGCAACCCTGTGAAGGGGATACTCACAAATTTGCTTTTTTGTGGAGAGGGTGATGCTTTACCATTATGGGGAACCTCTGTCTGTGGGGGGGCTGTGGCATCAACCATAGTTTCCTCTGGAATATCATCATCTGATTGTTCTTCCTTTGTCTCCGCAACTTCTTCCTTTTTCTTCTGTTTGATCCGCTCCATTTTTTCCAGCTGGTCTCTTATCCAGGCTGGGAGTTGTTTCCGTTTGGCTGTGTCTGTGCAGCACGTAGTCCTGTTAAGACTCTGCAGCTTGACCCACAGTGTAGGGAGGGGCACTCACCAATTGGAGCGGATGGAATCTCATCATGCTTGAGCAAGCTTTCCTTTTCCCTCTTTACAAAAGGAAGAGTTTTGGAGGCCTCTGTGTCCCAGTATGCTGTTGGGGGTGCAACCACTTCTGGCGCCACAAATGGCTGCTGCACACAAGCGAGTCACAATGTCAACCACTTTATAAATAAATGTGCACTCTCTGAACTCCCTAACCTTATCTTACTGGACAATTTAATAGAATATCACCAGACTTCCTTTAAAGCATACAACTACTCTCCTATAGTCCAAAATAAATTTGAGGAATTCGGTTGAGAGATTAAAAAAAAAGGCATCTTTCCTGATCATGGACTAAAAGTTTGACAAATTTAGGGTGATGTTCCACCCCAATGAAAGTACCGGCAAGTAAAGAGTCCTGCCATAAGGCCTAAATTCTAGTTTCCTTTCTAAATTCTAAGCAGGATCAGATATATATTTGGAAACTGGTAAACCTAGTGCTAGCATTACTGAGAGTCTGGATCATGTAGTAGGTGACCTACCTGAGGGTATTTATTGGCAAAGGTTACCCCAGCAGGCATGGGCCCTGGTGGAGGGGGAGGTGGGGGCGGCACCCAAGGGGCCTCAGCCCTTCTAGGAGGTCCCCAGTAGGGTTCTGTGGGCGGAGGGGGGGGACGAGGGATCACCATGCAGGAGTTGTCCCAGCCCGGAGGTGGCACTGAGAAGCCCCCGGGAATAGGGGGCTCCACAGGTGTTGGCTCTGGCTTGACGGACGGAGGTGAGGGAGCATGCTCCGGCTGCTGTTGCTGCATCTGAATCCATTGCTTGGCCAGGGCGGCCCAGTCCACTGCACCACCAGCCAACCCAGTGTTGGGGCCACATGCTGGGGCTGTTCCTTTCTTACCTTGATCTGGAGGCACATTCTGGTACATATGCTGCTGGGGCCATTGTTGAGCAGGCCAGGCTCCACCGCCACCATTCCACATTGCTGCTGCCACACCAGAGTTCTACCTTTGCTGGAAGACTGATTTAATAGAATGTGAATAACTAGGATGTGAATAAGTATCTAATTAAGGTAATGAGAGGCCAGTTCACTTAGGATGAAAACTAGT